GGGTGTCCTTCCCTACATTCATTTCTGATCCTTTTATAATTCATTTTTCCCAGATCCACTGCTAGATATGAATGAAAGCCAAAAATTTCTAGTTTACATACGAAGTATAAAGCTGTTTTAGGCAACCCTTAATCTATTTTTTGGGGCCGATCGCAAGAACACTGCTTTTATTCATGAGTAGGAAGCCATCGTTGAAAGCAAGAGCTTCACGCGTTGCATTAGTAATAGACCAGAAGATGGAGGGGAAGAAGAGTTGGGGTTTTGGACACTCTGTCGTATTGTTCAGTTGTCGTGATCGTCTTGTCATCACTACTCATTTCAAATTTGTAAAATAGAAGGTTCTATACAGGTCGCCTCTGTGTATTAATGTAGATTAGTTCCTATCAAATAGACAGCCACCTTCCTTTTGTAACCAGGCACGAGATTTCGACACTGACATGCTCTTATACTTCCATAGCACTGTTTTTTCAGGAATAAGGATAGGAATGGAAAAGAAGCGTGTTCTCCAGGGACGTCTAGCTTTTCTAGTGAAGTTAACTCGCCGCTTCTTTGGTAGATTCCGTTTACCTAATGAAATATCTTTTTATTCTGACTCTATGAAAGTTTCATGTGTAACGGATCCATTCCTTGTTGCTTGCGGTCAACGTTGTTTACAGAAGTAAAAGTGATTAAGTCAAAGTTGATCACTTTTCGAAAGCGGTACCATCTATACTATATACAGTCGCTTTACGCTTGACATCTAACTTCTCGAGAGATCCACGAAGGAAGGAATAAACGAACTAACCTGCATTGTCGCCCATGCGTCCAACTCCTTGTTATTAGTCATGATAGCGAATGCTTTTACAAGTTGTTGTGAACACGACATCGCTGTTCCAATGAAGGTAAGTAAGACCGACAAAAGAAGGCCCTAAATAATAGTATTCAAAAAAGTCTTAACACGAAGACCCTTCTTAGCTCGTAGTTTAGGCGTATGATACAATTCATACTAGCTCCGGAAGCAGGTTGAGAGCCTTTTCAACGAGATTACTGCGCGAAAAACCCATGGTAGAAGAGTTTGATCAGACCAACCTTTTCTCTGTGGTCACGTTCCAAAGTGCCACTCCTTTTCGTTACTCTATGGCGTTCAACAA